CACTCGATCGATATGTTTCGATCTTTGTAGATCTTCGATATGTCGATCTCTCGGAAGTCTGTCACGCTTATTCCTCATTGATTCCATCGTCTGAGGCGGCTAATTTGAATTTGGAAATCATTTAAATTAACAATTTTCAATCACGATTTTTATAATTGTGGCGCACTATAGTGTGCGTTCGGTCTTGTGATCTTATATGAATTTGGAAAAAAACTAGCTTTCAAATTCAATGTAAACATTTGTTCCGAATAACAGAGACTCTCATTAGCAAATACCGTGAATATATAAAAAAATCGGGTCAAAATTTTCGAGAATTTTTAATCCATTAAAAATTTAATTGTATTTGTAATTAAACCTTAATTGTCTTATATTTTCAAGGTGAGAAATCAAGATAAGGAATTTACTAAATCCTCTCAATTAAAATAGACTTTAGACTGACATAATAGAAAAATCAGTTGATATTATGCCAGAAATTTCGAGAAATTTCCAATAGTCGATCTCCACTAATAAATGACTCAACTGTTTATCAGAATGATGAACCCCTAAACAATTTCTGAGTCAAAGACCTGTAAAGACTGCCAATACCAAAGAAACTGTTTACATATAGAACAGGAGAAAAATACGTGTTTTTCGCAGTAAGATGACTCATCCGGAGATTTCCATGGTATCGACACCAAGTGTTGATTCACTCCCCGGGAGATGAGGGCATTAGGACCCCAGAGGAGCGAAATAACGAGTACGAAGTTAAGATGACAAAAGTCTGTGTCGATTTTTCAGTAGCGAAAAGAAATACGATAGTTTCACCGTCAAAAAGTTCTCGACTTACATTTACGGATGGTTGCAACCGATATACCACATCACCTCGTGTGTTACCGATGTTCACCTCGGTTTAATCCCCACTTCGTGGAAGGAAAGAGAAATATCAAACGAGAGGCGCACATGCCGTGAGGGAGAGAAAAAAGGAAGAGAATCGTATAAAACACACATATTTAGGGGAGGGCACATGGGTCCATGAACTAGTCTCGGTGGGGCATATGGTACCGTGGATAAAACATCCAAGTGGTAATAGCCAGGTGTTTTTGAAAGGTTAGCCCTCCTCTTTTTCCTTCTGTCCTTTTCTGTCTCTCCCCCTCTTCATTATTTTTTACCTCTTCACCAGACAAAAAATTAAAACAGCTTCCTCCTGAAATTCGTATGGAGGTATACACTCAGTACGACAATTTATTTTCCAATAATTTCATGATTATTTTCATGTTTTTTCGGAGGGCATAATCATTTTTGGAATAAGAGGGTTTTTATTCTCGTTGTTGGCTTCCAATAGCGGCTCTCGTTTATTGAGAGAATTTATTGATCATTCATTTTTTTTTAATTATTAAATTGAATTTCGAATAAATAAATGAAATTAGAAATATTCATCGCTCATCGAAAATGCAGCAAGTTAACAAGTAAATAATGATCCGAATGGTTGGCGTAAAATAGATCATTTCGCATTTTGTGAATCATTTTCAAATTGACTTCCACAATTTAGTGCAAGTTTGTAAAAAAATTTTGATACATAACGGTCATTATCTAGAATATATTTTTATTGGTTGAAATTCAGAAATATTCAGGAGAAAAATTAATATATATAATTATATAATTCAAATTCGCTGACCAATTGCAAAAGCGACTGTAAGAAAATAAAAATAGCAGCATTCCAATTTTTCACTGGTAAATCACTAGAAAATTGGGGACTGCCATGAGAAAAATTCTGTAACTGTTCCATAAAATTTTCATTTTGCTGCAATATTACCGAAAATATCCGGAAGTTTGATTAATTAATCTTCCCGTCAAATTTCAGTCAATAGGATTGCAGCATTTGACTATTTTTTATATAATCAACACTAAATTCATATTTTTTTAAGGGTTTCACCGGTAATTTTTCATCTTAATATATCTAAAAAAACAATAGATTCACCAGATAGAATACTATTATGTTAATTGAAAGGTTTTGATTTTTAAGTTTGTCTTATTGGGCAATTCTATTGACCGAAATTTGGATGTCAAAATAATCCTCCGAGAAACGGGCTTTTCAAGTTTTCCCAAAAAATCATTTTTAACCTGGAAAATTCGACTCGTCCATTTGTTTGCAACGAACCTATCTGGAAATATCCGATAAATTGGAAGCTCTCGTGATGTTATAAATGAATACTCCTCTCTGTAGAATATAAATATTTGGAACGTGGCGAGGTGGAGTACCTGGTTGGTGGCGCACTCTTCCGCGCCTCAGAAATAACTCGCCTGTGGCGACGGCGTAACCGAGTGATTCTTAACTCGATCAAGATAAACCAACGTACAAGTCAGAGCAGGAATAATTGTCCAACAAAAAGATACGAAAAATATTCACCTCCATTTATTCTACTCCGAGATTAATGACAGAATTATATTAATATAAGAGCGACAGCTAGGACACTGCAACGGAGAGATGAATATATTCAACGGACAACGAGAATGATCTTTATCCGGTGAATGAAATGAAACTCAACGAACCTGCCGCACATCATTTCCCCTCGGTGGATTTTTTTTATTTTACAATTTCGGGGGTTTAAACGGGTGAATGTGAATCTAAGGGTTACATACCTGATGCACTTCTCGAAGCACCTCCCGAGTTAAAACGGGTTGAAGCCCCGATTTGATACCTGAAGGAGGAAAAAATAATCCCTCTACCCTTTCCCATCCTTTCTTTTCTCGAAAAAATGATTTCGGAAGAGTAAGTGCACGGTAACCTGGCCGCAGGGCTTTGTTGTGCGTCAAAAATATTTTTTCAACTTTTTTTTTTCGAGGTACGATGGGGTGCGGTACTGGAAAAACCGGGTAGAGCAGGTCTGTCGAGTTGAGTCAACTTGGCACATGTCACCGAAATTTTTCTGAAATATGTGATAAAAAATGGAGAATCTGTTATAAATAACTACCCAACGAACTCCCAGCATGTAAATATTATTTCTCACACTCTGTCTCAAATGACGAGTCAAGATTGCCCTAAAAAACCTTACTTTCATGAAATTTATATCCAAAGAATTACAATTCTCTTAGCTGCCAAATTTTGATATTGAACATTCGACTGCAGATAACATTTTGAATTTTCCCCGAACGGAAACAGGAATTATAAATTTTTCGAATTACTCAGAAAAATTTGACCTTGTCACTATAGATTTTCCGGTGAGTCATTCCGTAATTTCAATAGATATTGACCTTGGCTCCAACACTGGGGAAGATAGCGAAAAATGACGTCCTCTGAATTTTTGACAAACACGTAATTTTACACCACTACCGATAATTTTCCAGAATTTTTCCTGCATGCAGTGCACAATCACCGCAAAAATTCTGCCCACAGTCCATAAACGTTAATTTAATATAACCGGTGACGGACAAACGTCGAAACAACCGGCATCACTCCACCGGTCAATTGAGAATAATGAGGACGCCCCAGAGTTTCATTGAATCATCAGAAACACTGTCTAGTACACTCATAGGAATCCACTCAAACCCACGACAACTCACCCGGCAAAATTCAATTAAATTAACAACAGTAACCGAAGAGAATGAAAACCCAACGAGCCGTAAAAAAATTCTCAATGTGCACAATGTTTTCTTTCACCCCTTTCTCCCGCTGATCATTAAGACGTAAAATTTCCACATCATTCATTACCGTAAAAAAAACTACAATAAAGGAGCGAAGAGTGTACCCAATTCGCTGAAAGGGTAGGAGTTAGATTTATAAGCCCAGGGGTCTTTCATTCGTACTATAAATGTATGTATGTGTGCGTGTATATAACTACATATATATATATAACTGCGCAGCACGCGTGGGCGATGCTACGGCACGCGACACGACCGTTACGTTCAGAAAAATGGAATGAGGGGTGAACGATTGAGAAGGGAGAAGTATCTGCCGATTGGCTGCCAGGGGTCATTCAATCCCAAAAGAAGATGAAAATCCAAAATTCAAACAAAGTGCTAACCTTCACTCCAAAACTCCTCACCGAAAAATTATTCTTTCGTTCAACTAAATTATTCCTGGCGAGTAAATTTATTTGCAAGAAGTTATTCTTTATCTCTGTCTACAGGCAAATCATTTTATTTATTTTGTATTTTTTGTCGGAGTAAATATGCGTGTGATGGAAGGGGAGAATCACGAGAATAATAATATATCTGAATCAAGCATATTTTGAACCTGAAAAAAGTATAAAGGTATAAGTATAAGTGAAATAAGTTCCCGTATATTCATAAATACATTAAGATATTTAATTAATGTATATTTCTTTAAATGTAATGTATATACTAATTTTAGGTATAACCTATATAATTGATCTCCTACTTTTTTTCCGTGAATAAACGAATTCGAGAAAAAATTTGGACTTGAAAAAAAATCTAAAAAACGACATAATTACTCAAAATTCTTTGAATTCTTCCATTCATCAAATGTTCAATCCCTGAAAACGCGTTTTATCAAAACAGTCTCCAAGTTTCTTATAAAAAAAAAACAAAATATTTTTCGTCCTCTGAAAACACCGATGAGACCCTGGAAATTTATCATCGAAAATTTCGAAAAAAAAAAGTCCAGTGAAAAATATAAAAGCAATGGTGAGGGTTGTCGTCAGCATCTGCCATCGGCGTGTTCTAACAATCGAAAAACGTCGCAGCTAAGAGCAAACGGTATAACACATGAAGCCCAGGTAAACCGAGAGAGACAGTTCGAAATAAGGGAGTGGTATGAAGTGAAAATTTGAGTTGTAGTGGGGGATTACGAGGCGCACGACGTTACGGGGGTAACAGATGGTCGATCGGTGATTGGTCGACGGCTTGCGACCGTTCCTGTTCCATTGGAGGTTAACGCGGGCCCCGTGGGCCTGCATTGGACGTACAGCACGTGCGGGCCACCTGCAAGAGCCCGGAGTGGGGACGAATGGTTATAAATGCCAGGAAACGTGTTGCTGCCAGTCAGAGTCCGGCTTGCAGCCGATACGAACACATCAGCCTTATTTCCATATCCCTTTCAACCCTCGAGCCATTTTTTCCGTTATTCCGATCGTGTGAACACGTTACCAATCGAGAAAACGAGAGAAGTGCATTTCACTTTATTTTCTACGAACAATCGAGTGTTGATAGTGGTGTGAGCCTTTAAACATTGTGAAAAATACAAATTCATTGTTGTATTTAATAACTACTCAGTGAAGTGAGTACGTACAAATCTGTTGTCTCCCGATACCCAGGATTACTGGGGGGCAACTTAGTATTGTCGTACAATTATTCGATTTTGTTGATTAAATAAATCGAAAATGCTCGTTGACGAGATGCCAAGGAGCTTCGTTAAGAAGAACAACAGCTACAGCCATTGTCCGCTCAAAAAGCGGCCAGTGCATGTGATGCTGTACGACGAAGTACCAGAATCAGTAAAAGGTAAATATCTGAGTGATTGAATAAAAAAATAAAAACCTACCTAAACCCTCAGAAATTGTAAAACCTTCAAGGATTTTCAGCTCCCAGACAATAATAGTCAAAAATTGAACAAAATATTATTCATGTACTTATGAAAACATTTTTTTCTGCTTTCAGATGAAATAATTGATGTAGTAACGGACGACATCCCAGAGCCAGAGAATCTCAGCACAAAGCCAGAGGATCTCAGCAGATCAGCTCCAAAGCGTCGTTCAGTCTCCCGATCTCCATCCCCAGTGCCTCACAAACAGCCCCACCTTGAGCACCACCCAATCCACCCATCCCCAGTGAATCATTATCCATCAAAACCGATAACTCCACCCGTCGGCATAGCCCCGATTCATCCACTCGTTAAAAAAGAGCGTGTCGAAGTGATTCAACATGACGGCGGTGCAGTGTCAACGGGTTCACTCCACTTCATGTCGACGAAGACACCCTTGGAGCCATTGAACTTGAATACACCAGTGGAACCAGTCACCCACTATGCAACACCAGCTTGGGCAAGAGCAGCGCCACTCTATCCACCACACTACCTACCATATCCAGCTTATCGTTTCCATCATCATCCAGGAGCTGAGTTGTACCCAGCGTATCCACTGCCAGCATATCCACACTCATCGCCAGAGCATGCATCAGCTTCACCACCACCACTTCAACACACAGCCTTGACATGTCCAACGATCCAACGACCAATTGCCAGGAGTTATGCACACTGGGCAGCATCATCGAGTCCAGATCACTGCGGGCTATCACCAACGAGTTCAGTGGGTTATTCCTCTCTGAGATCACCACCACCCGTGACACCTGAGGACCTTTCCTCACCGGGAAGTGACAGTGGTAGATCCTCAGCTGGAAGCACCTCAGCAGGTTCGACAATTCTAATGAAAATGGACAGCCCCATCAACACGAGCCCCATCAACACCTCCAGTCCAACCAATACGACAAGCGCATCATCACCGAGATATCAGTGCCCAGACTGCGGTAAATCATACTCCACGTACTCGGGCTTGTCCAAGCATCAGCAATTTCATTGTGCAGCTGCTGAGGGACAGACGAAGAAATCCTTCTCGTGCAAGTACTGCGAGAAAGTTTACGTGAGTCTTGGTGCTCTCAAGATGCACATCAGGACCCACACTCTACCGTGCAAGTGCCATCTCTGTGGAAAGGCCTTCTCCAGGCCTTGGCTACTCCAGGGACACATCAGGACACACACCGGGGAGAAACCCTTCAGCTGTCAGCACTGCAATCGTGCGTTCGCTGATAGGAGCAATCTCAGGGCTCATCTCCAGACACACAGCGATGTCAAGAAGTACTCGTGCACTTCATGCAGCAAAACATTCAGCAGAATGTCACTGCTAACGAAGCATCAGGAGGGCGGATGTCCCGGTATGAATGTTCCCATTGGTTATGGCTGTTGAAAAGTGAAAATATTCGTTCGGAGTGCCTTAACGTTGAATCGTTCGATAGACTGAATTTACGAGGAGTACAAATATTAATATATTTACTATTTTATTGTAAATGCGATGGGTGTTAATGAGAAAATTGAGATTTTCTTAGGGACGAGATATCGAGCTAATCGGGATTTTTCTTTTTTTATTTTGTACTTATTACGGGGTCGAGTTTTTTCATGGAGTTTTTTTATCTTTTCATATTTTTCATTTTCAACATGGTTTTATATGGAAAATCGTGACACCGCTCGATGCGGTACCGTGAAACTTTAGTGCCATGATTTGAATTTTTTTTATACCTTTCAGTTCCATTCCTATTTCGCTTATTAATTTATATCTAGGATTAATTGTAATATCGTTAAGTTGGCCGAGACAGCACTCAAGTGTACATAATGTTTTCGACAGGCCATATGCGTTCTTAAGTATCTGAAGAAAAAAAAAAATTATTTCTTTTCGATTGAGTTACTCGAACATACTAGTCATTGTACATAAACACAAAGATAACAGAGTGTGTGTTTGGCGTGTGTGCGCAGAGAGTGTAAAGAGTCAATTAAAATTGGAGAATCAGATTGAAATCCGATTTTAGAGATATATTGCGCGGACTCAGGGCGAGTACCACTATAATTTTTATATAAGAGGTTTTTGTAAAGAAAGTAAATATAAACAGGAGAGTACAGAGGATGTGTTCTATATATTAAATATTTTATACGAAATAAATAATTTTCAATTGAAATATATTGTTATTTGGTTATTCGAGTGATCCAATTACCCCGTTCTTCATGAAAAAATGTTTACTGTAGATTTGACACATGTCCGGGCTGGGGTCGACACAATGGAGCCTTTAGCACGAGGCAAACAGCATCTGTCGTTGGGACGTCAGTAATTATATGAGCAGACATTTCACTTGATTCATTGAGTATTCTATTGAATTTCCTAGATCTACATGCCAACCAAGTGAGATTATTTCTATATGGATTGAATCTTCATTGCCCATTCGTTTCTCCTAAAACTTATAATCAAATAATTCAATGCAATTCAATTCCTTTATTCGTCATTATCTTCAATTTTATTTTTATTTTATTTATTTATCCTTAGACTTCCCGTCATTTAGTAATTCGAATTTTTTCGATGAATACTTTGAGATTTGGAGGTGAATTGGCTACGAATTATAATGTTGTTAATTATTTGAGCATGAATGAGGAATTGTCAGAGCACATCGTTGAGGATTTGAGAGTGAATGAATGGCTAGCGTCTTTGAAAGGGCAATACAAATGGTCAGTGTCATTCACTATTGCTCTTGTGACAGGTGGAACTTCTTCTGGTGAATTCTCGAGAAAAATGTCGATTGAGTTTTTGTTTGAACGGTTTGAACTGTTTGAGACCAGTAGAGGTTGAATGCAATACTCAGCTTGAGGGAAAAAAAAGGTAAGTGAGAGGGTCTCGGTGTCCAGAGGTGGGTCTTTATGACAGGGACTGGTGTACCAGGCGATTGGAACAGGTGTGTTTCTCGCATTTGAGGACCAAAGGCTATTCTTGGCTATTCGATGGACAAAAGTACCCGGGGGCACAATGGATGCTGAGGAGGGGAAGGGGGGGGGGCAGGGGGCTATTGGGGACTTGGGGAGAAGTACACCGAGAGTTCTGGGAATTGTGGGGATTTTTTCTTGTCGAATGGAATTTTTGCTAATTCTTGGTGCTTTATTCGCGGTTTTTTGGGTCATTATGGATCATTGGTGGTCATGATGATGTTCACGCTTCTGTTCCAGGTGTTGCCTGATGCGTTGCTGAGCTGACGTGTAGCCACTTGGGTTATGAGTTGAGCCGAGCCGTGACTGATCACCGCGATATCACGGTCAAGTTATACTGCCACGTCAACGCCTTGTCATTTTTCTTCTAATCTTCGTCGAGAGTTTCAAAGGATTTTTTCGTTTTTTTTCCACTGAATGTTTATTTAGAAAAAGGCAATTCCAAAATTTTTATCAGAAAATTATCAAATAATAAGAGTGTATTGTAAAAAATCGTTCTCCAAGTTGATTTGAAGAAATGAATAAAGGCAAAAAGATTAACTCTGTCGTAGGATAATGATGGGATTTTTTTTTGCACTCTTAATTAGGGAAATGAAGACTGAAATTTGAATGAAATTTCGATTAGGAGCCCCTGGAGGAATCCCGGTCTTTGAAAATTGTGGGTTCCGAAATACCGAATCTGGCCGTAGATTGAAAAATGAATAGAATGGGACTAATTAGGGATGGTGTCGGCACAACTGTGACGATGAAACAAGAGCACAACAACCTGTTACCCCTGGCGGGTCTCTTGGGGATCCTTTCAAGAGGAATGGACAACAGATGGCCCATGGGCCATACTGCACCTGTCAAAAGTACCCGAGAAAACCATTCGACAGATTGATCACCATTTTCCATAATTTTCTTGTCTTAAATTTAACGCCAACCACTTTCTACATTTTTCCTTGTCGTAAATCCCCGGTGACTAGAAACGAATGGAATTTTTCGATAAAAATTTCATGACTTGTGGGAGAAAATTGTGAGTAAAATGATCTTATGAAGTGAGGATATTCTCCAGGGTAAATGTATATTTCAATCGCTATCGGGATTCATGTAAATCAAGGTGAAGCTCCGAGTCCTGTACTTTGTATCTAAATTGTTGGCTATAACGAATTTATTCGCGTGTCGGAAAAAATTGTGGAAATTACCCAAGTGCATAAATGTACATTCTGCATCTTCGCACTTTAATGATCGGTTAAAACGGACCCCAATGGGTTCTAGATAACATCGTCGAGTCATCAGTCAGGGACTTATCGTCGGCCGAGAGTTGAATAAAAGAAGGCACGCGCCGAGAACGCAATGAAAACTGTTAAATCCCTCCAACACGATTCGATGTGAGTGATTTTATGATTTGGGGTAAGGAATTATTTTTATTTTTTTCTCCTGGATTAATCACATGTTTTAACTGTACAAATTTTAACTTCTAACTGAACAAATGCCCACGCATTCATCATGAGTGGAAACAACCCGCGGGTAACGTCCACTGGAGCATAATCAATTTCGACGCTAATTAATTTAAACAAAATTATGAGGGTGCTAATACCAACAGGAGAGAACGATAACAAACAGCCGGGAGTGAAGTCTTTTTTCTATTTATCAGAATGAATTTTTTTTTCATTTAGAAACTTCTTTTCTTATCTATTCATTTTTCAGTGTGTATTAAAATAAAAATATATTAATTTAATTATATTAACGTAATGATAATAAACTTATAAATCTGAGTAAAAATTATACAACACTGCCAAAAATTGTGAGTTTTTTTTTTCAAGGATTTCTGAACATTTAGCATTTAATTTGCATTAAAAAAATGTGAGAGTAATTATAGTTTTATCCCAACGTTGTGTAACATTTATGTTTTTTACTATTTATTTAAATAAAATGAATCCAAGGTTTGGTGAGAAAGCGATTGATTTTTTTCTTGCGATTCGCAAAATGGAAAGGTCGATCGATTAGGATGGGAACAATGGTGTAACTGTTAAATTAATTTGTGGTGTTTTTGTGGTTCTCGAGTGAAATAAAAGAAAAATCATCAAGACCGGTCATCGCCGAAGAGGAGGACGGACCTGTGGGGACGATTTGACGCGCGTCATTATGCGAGGTGTGGCAGGCACTTGAAACGCGTAGGTGGTCCCCCCTAATGCAAAACTCTCTCGTGTTGCACGTGTGAACTACACTTTCCGATCTTATACACAACTGTTGATGTCTGGTATAATCGAAATCTTAAATGCACGAGGAAATTGAGTCGTCGCGACAATTTTGTCGGGCACAGGTCCGTAAAATTGACAGGACCTCGATTCCACGGTTAATGATGGAGTTTAGATAACCTTTGATCCCAGAAGGTGAAAAAATAATGACAATCAAGTCAATTCCCACTGACAAAGTCAGAAAAATATCCACCCAGCACTGAAAATTAAATTGAGGGCCCATGATTTTTTTTTTACTTTCTAAACTCTCAACTTACTGAGTCCGAGCTATTGAATAAAGAATATTATTTTGTTTTAATTAATTAAATCTTTTAATTTAATTCAATAATTAAAGAAATTACAATAATTTCAATTTAATTTGTACACAGAATCAATTTGATACAATTTTTAATTTTTATTCCAACAAAAAAATTTGAATGAAAATGAAAATTCACTAAAAAGTCATTGAAATTAATTTTATCTCACGTTTCGCTCTTTCAAAGTTGAATCGATCACAAATTCTTCATTTATCGTAATAAATTGTACATTGACGATAATATTGAATAATATTGCGGTACTGTGTCCGGAGAAGTTCGGAAGTAATAATTAAAAAATCATTGACACCACCGAAACAATACGGAGAAAAAATGGTAAATATAAATAAATAAAAGTGACGTAATAAATTGCATAGTGTGCATAACTCCAGGGCTGCCGGTGGTCCTTATCGCAATGCCGTACGTTTATGCACTGGCGGTATATAATTCCACGGGGGGGAATCCACAACAACAACAACCACAACAACAACAACTAAACAGAGCCCTGACGATACGCTCGGTAGGCCACTGTGTACAAAAGGTGGTGGTATAAGGTACATAAAACGACACATTCGATATCTCCTCGCAATGAATCGACTACTCTCCTTGCGTTTGATATATAATTAAAGGCCAGTCATGGTACCCTTGTGCACCCTCACTTCGGCATGGCAATTAAGATGATACCGACACGCTTTTATCCTCACGATCCATCGATAAGGACCCAGTAAATTGAGCAAAAACAAATCGAATTTCATTCTGTAACTTATACCATGCATTCTCATCTGTTTCTGAATTATTTTGATACACTCTTTTAAAATCTGCATTTCCATCAAAAATCACGGAAATAAATACTTGAATCAAGTATATGAATATACTTGAAATACGGATATTATTATATTTATTAAAAAAATAGAAAAGTCTAATATAATAAGTGTACGAAAAATATTCGAAATTGGGAACCATAAATTCGAACAAGAATTTCTCTGAATTTTCAAAATAAATGAAAAATTTAATGAAATTGAATGAAAATTCATATAATTAAAAACACAGGTGACTTTGCGATTAACTTTTCAATGAATCCTTAACATGCAATAAATAAATAAAAAATAACGTCTACACATAATTACATGTCCCTTAATTATACGCATATAATTTAAAAAAAGCTATATTTTAATCAAGTACATTCTCCCATTTTGGCTCGACTATAAGGTGACATTCATCAGGAATACATAATGTACTATTTCCGCATATGTACCGATAATATCACCACCGTTTTTGGGAGATGATTTTTTTAGTGTGCATTGCGGGGTAATTAGTGGATTTGATGAATTGCTGCGATTGTAGAGTAGATGGTACATGCATTGGTTGGTACAAAGTGTTGAGGCAGTAAATACGGGGAGTCCCTGGAGTGGTGAGCGTCGGCGCAGGCGCTGGCCGTCTACGTGATTGGTCTGTACATCTGGCGCGCAGTTACGCGTCTGCGTGAAGTTGTTCGGTTCGTCGCGCGTGCCCGGGTGACGCCCAAGTGGGTTAATGCCGACAATTACGCGTTTTCTTGAGTACCCGCCCCCTCCCTCATGTATCACTCACAACAAATAACCGCTCACAGTAATCCGT